AGTGGTAGAATAAATGTAATATAACTTGTTCTCCACCATTCCTTAATAACACTTAACTATAATTATTGTAACAACTCTTTGAACTCCCCGACCAATGGGTTAACCTTAAAGTTTAATTTTTTCAGTTAAGTTAGAAGGATTTGAGGAAGATATGATATCTAAATATTGCATTGGTTTATTCATTTTTCGAGGGTGTATATCCTTATACCTAGACAATTACCATCGCTAAAATTATATGTATACTAATAATAATAATAATTCTATACTGTTACATAATTTAAAAATTATGGCCCCTTATTGTGGGCAGAGTATGTGTCTTTATTTAAGTGTCCTGATTTAAAAATCATCTGAGTGACTGCATTGAAATAATTTAAGGAGAGTACCATAAAAACGTTAAAACAAAAGGAGTAACAACTAGAACATACTTATATTAATATCAACATTAGAACAAAATACAGTCACCTAATTCTCTTCTCCTACGGTTGAGTATAGAGGAACCATCTTTGGCGTGTATTAGGGACTTAGACCATTACAAATACCCTGCTGTAAGTTTGCAAGGTATGTGGACTAAGTGGGTCGAGAGTACTCGACTTGGAAGTGGGTGTTGAGAATTCTCAACTAAACTAGAAGATAATGATGTCCAGAAGATGAGGCAGTAGATGGAGTAGTAAAGGAGTAGTAGAGGCTGAAGGGGGAGTGATGTCATAAGGAGATGTAGGACATGAAGGGGGATGGAGGTGAAGGAGCACTAATAAGTATAAGTATCAATTCTATGATAGTTCATCGATGGCGATCTGTGCTAAAGATCGGAAGGCAGTGATGCTGCCATCACTACCATCTCTTAAGATAGACCAGCATGGTTGGTCACTAGTGGAGTGCTCTTGAATGGTTTCTCTGTAGGAACAGCGGTACAGTGGACAAGAGAAGATTCGATGGTAATTGTTGTCCAACATCTGACAATTCGGACACTGAGGGTCGCAGTTGTTGGCAACCCTTGCCTTGAACGCTGTGAAGGTGATGTCATGGCCATGCAAGAGAGACATTACTTTAGTGTCTGTGCTCCTGCTTGAGTAGCGAGGAAACAACTTTTTGCTCCTCTCATCGATGTTATCCAGTATCTCACCCGGATTTATTCTAGGGTTCAGTAGGAGATGTTTATTCCAAGTGAAGTCCATAAAGCGGGTTATTTCGTCTTTTGAATAGCTGACAACACCGTTGTGGACACTAGTCAGAAGGTCTATTCTGCTTCTGTTGAGCTCGTTGGACCCCCTTGTCCACGTTAGGAACTTACGTATCTCATCAATATGGTGCTGATATCGATGGGCCTTTGCCTCCTCTAGCTGTAAGATGAGTCCTTGCATAAATGGGTCACTTGTAAGTGCTTTTATTATGAATTTTATAGTGATCATCTTGTAGGATATCTCAAGGGGTGGAATTCCAAGCGCGACAGATGTCAAATCTTTGGGAGGATGGTGAGTGGATCCACTTATTTTCAAGAGGACCCTGGCATAGAAGTCTTTGAAAGTGTCTAGGTTATCTTTTAGCCATATTGGAGCAGCATATAGAAGTTTTGTGAGTACTACTGTTTTGAAGAGCATTTTGAGTGAGCTTGCATTCAGGCCTCTGTGGCGGGTGGAGTTTTGAGTGATCCTGTACCAGGCAAACCAGCATTGTTTCAATTTAAATTTTGCGTGACTCTTGAACGTAAGTTTGTCGTCTATCCTCAGTCCAAGAACAGTTGATTGACATGTATATGTTATGGGTCTACTGCCGATAATGAGTGGTCCAAAGGCTGTGACATCAGGTGCAGATGAGGATGTTGGTGTGATCATAATACACTCGGTCTTGTTTTTGTCGCAGTTTGGGATAAGTTTCCACTTACTGCACCAGACATGAAGGTACTTGCACATCAACTGCATAATTCGATGAGCACATATAGGATCTATGTGAGAGACTGCTATGCTTCCATCATCAGCATATTTGAAGAGGCTTGAGTTAGAGCTGCATTCCAGTGGGAGCTGGTCCTTGCATAACATATCCGAGATGTAGAGGATAAATAGCAGGGGTGCAAGGACAGAGCCTTGGGGAAGCCCAAACCATCCACATGAGCGTTGAAATCCGAGACTGTTGTTAACCCTCAGCCGTACTTTGCGGGATAACAGGAAGTTATTTATTATCCGCAAAATGTTCCCTTGTATTTGGTATTTGCTGAGCTTGAAAATCAGGCCTTTCACCCATACACTATCAAATGCTTTGCTAAAATCGATGCATAGTAGGAAAGTAGTGAGTTTTTTCCTCTTGCATTCATCTAGAGTAGCTACTAATTTATAAAGATACCTTGCAGTATTTCTTTGAGGTCTAAAGCCTTCTTGCTCTTCGTCGAGTAAGCCCTCTAGTTCGCAATGGAGCTTTATTCTTCGTTCCAAGATCTTTTCTAGCAGCTTTCCAACATATGATGATATCGATATTGGTCTATAAGCAGAGGGGTTCATGTAGTTATCCTTCCCATCCTTTTTGATGAAAGTGACATTGGATACCTCCCAGACCCATACACCAGTCTCAAGGACAAGGTCATATAGTTTTGTTAGAATCTGAAGAGCTGACACAGGCAGATGTTTCAGGATTTTTGGGTGAAGATTATCAGTGTCAAAACTTTTGGCATTGCTATTTTGAGCCTTCAGTGCTAAAGTAACTTCCTCTAGACCTATTTTCCCATTCAGATGATCATTAATGATTGGATCTAATTGGTCGGTAGGGAACTGAGTTGATATAATGTTGTCATAGCAGCTATTGATTTCTTGTTCGAAGACATGATCAAAACTGCATCCATTCATGTGTTCACCCGAGAAGAATGATTTGTACAAGATGTTTTCTTTCTGAGTTCTGTCAGAGTGGAGGATACCACCATCCATAAGATTTCCCATGTACTCGTTAGGCTTATTGGTCAATGTCTTCTTATAATTTTTCCAGAATATTTGAGACTGAGCAACATTGAGATTTTCCAGTTGCTGATGAATCCATTTGTTTTTTTCGGATATCAAGGTATTAGAAAACTCCTCCTTTGCTTGTTTGTGGAGGGAGATGTTATACGGTGTGTAGCTGGTTTTCATGGTTTCCTGCGCAGCTTGAAGAGTTCGTGAAAGGTCTGTAAGGAGAGAGTTCCAGAAAGGTTTTGAGTGGGTACTGACTTTCTTGAGAGGAATCCATTCATTACCAATCGCAGATAAAATGTTTTTAAAGTCTTGCCACAGCTTTAGAGGGTCTATGTAAGAGTTGATCCTGCCAGTTATGCCAAGGAGAAGGGCCCTGTTAAGTGATCCACACCAAGCATTCCAGTCTGTTTTATCAATGTCCCAGTAGAGAAGAGGAGATGCAGATTGAGCAGTTTGTGCGTGACAGAATTGGTGGATGATTGGTAAGTGACCTCTATTTGGAGCACCTGTGAAGAGTTCACTTTCACTGTCAATGCTGGACGATTGGTATAGCCTACATACTTTACCCTTCAACAAAGCAAGGTCAATGATACTCCCACCATTATGGGAGACGAATGTATTGGTGTTCGGAGTGATGCATGTCAGATTATGCTGAGCGATGAATGAATCCAGCTGTCTTCCACGGTCGGTTGTGATGATATCTCCCCAGGAGATGTGCCTACTGTTGAAGTCACCAATTATTATTACATCTTTGATTTTGAACTTGGAGCAGTATTGGAGAGCTTTCGTGATGTTGGTAAGTGCTGAGCTCAGGTTGTTTGTAGAAGTTAGGGAGTGGTTTACATATACATTACCAATCATTACTACCGTTGAATTGTACCTAACAGTGACCCAGAGTGCATCAGTGGTTGTATCTTGAAGTTCACTGATTTGTTGTGGGACAAGCCTGGGGGAAACACTGGTGGACACTCCTCTGCTATTGTTTACCGAAAATGTATCCAGATTATGAAAGGTATTTAAGTGGGGTCTGGAGTTATCCAGTAGAGTTTCTTGTAGAGCCACAATGTCATTTTTGAACTATCAATTGCTGTAATAGACCTGTTTGATAGCCCACTGACATTTATTTGACAGATATGAAGACTTCCGTTGTTTTTAGTAATCATGGTGGTTACTTTGTTTAATCAGATTCATTTTTTCTATGAAATGTGGGCATTGGTTTGAGAAGGCTGTATGATTTCCTCTGCAGTTGCGGCAGCAGTAATTTGATGGATGGGTTCTCTCCGGGCATTCTTTATCAGTGTGGTTTTCTGAGGAACAGAATCCACATGCTGCTTTGCTGCGGCACCATTTCACAGGGTGTCCAAATCTTTTGCAGCCATGACATTGCATTGGTTTTTTGGTGAACTTGAATTGAGCAACTTCTAGCCATAAGTGTTCAAGACCGAATCCCTTGCTTATTGCTTGTGTAAGATCCTCATGTGACTTAAAGATGACTTTAACAGAGTTTGATGATTTGCCCAAGCGAGTTACGTGAGTGCTATTCAAATTGGCATTATTAAGTCCATCAGAGATAGAGCCCATATCAATGTTTATGGGGACATGCCTTATGATGCCTACATGCTTTGTCAGATGCTGGTCAGTCATTCTGAATATCGCTGTGCCCATTTTTGCGCTGGTGTCTTTAAAATAGTGGGATTGCCATCCATTTAGTACTTGTTTGATATCATCCTCAGAGTTTAGTTGAAGAATGATGTTGCCATATCTTGTCTTTTTAATGTACTTTATCTTCATTTGCTTAAACAGTTTGTTAAACTCTGATTTAAGTGAGGTATCATTTGACACCACCTTTTTGTTTGTGACTTGCTTTATGATAACAGACATCTTGGGATCAACTAAATAGTCGGTTCCCACTGCACTAGCTGATTTTTTTGTAGACTCTTTGACCACTGGGGGTTCTATGAAAGTGTTGGTGCTCAAATGAGAGTGAGGTATGTATGCTGTACGAAACATTTTTACCCCTCTTAAAGTAAAGTAAAGTAAAATTTATGACATCACACATGATACTTTCAACACTACTATATAACAAATAATTTGAGAACTGAAGAAGACGTTGTTACGTGGAATGATTATTTCAATTCAATAAAGTTTCTAGCCTAAAGTTTGCTGCTTCAATTTGTTCGCAAGTTAAGAGTCTAAAGAGAAATTCTCCAAGAGAAATCATCATCACACATGTCTACAAACTATCATCGCACTGTGTGAAAAAATATATAATAAATATTTCCCCACCAACATTAATTAATTATCAAATACAATATTTAAAAACAATTTCATCAAAAACATTATCCTATTTTAAAAACTTCCCAGTGGAATAAAGACTTATAAAACGCTTCTTTGCCACATAAGGATGGAACCAAAGATAATTGTTATGTTTCTCTTTATTACTGACATAACTGGCTCCCTCAATTCTTACTAAAACTTCATTAGAAACATTCCAAAAAAAGCAATCATTTGTAATACTTTTAGAAATCATGTCTATCTTATATCCTTCTAATTTAATTTTAAAACCTAAAACTGTCACAGAGTTCTTGACGTCCGGAGGGAGTTTGTTCCAATATGGAATAACTCGCTCCGGGAGAAAAGACTTCTGGATATTCTTGACCTTTGTCACACTTTTACTACATCTATTGGATGAAACCAGATTAAGACCTGATCTGCTTGGTCTGAACAAGTCTGAACCATAATCAGTCATAGCATTAATAACTTTAAAAGCTTCAATAAGGTCCCCACGTATTCGCCGCTCTGCCAGCGTTGTCAAATTGAGGATTTTCAGTCTACGGCTGTAAGGAAGAGTACCCACCTCATCAATCAGACGGGTAAACCGCCTCTGGACGCTCTCCAGCTCCAAAACAGTCCCCCAACTTCCATGAGCCGCAGGTGGATTCCACAATTGGACACAATACTCAAGATGAGGTCTTATTAAAGCTTTATATATAGCAATCATAACAACCTTTTCTCTAATAACTAAATTCCTTACAATCCAACAAATCATACGATTTGCACTTGGCAGGATTAAATTGTAAAAGCCAAATACTTTCCCAAACTTCTAATTCTTCGATATCCTCAGCAACACTACCGTGGTTAGCTGCATTACCAATTAATTTAAGATCATCAGCAAATAACTTTATCTTATTTTTCACAAGGTCAGGCAAATCATTAATATACAGAATGAATAGGAGAGGGCCTAGAACTGACCCCTGAGGAACACCAGATAAAACATGTTTAACCTCGGACCATTGTCCTTCTACAGAAACCTTCATAGTCCTGTCTGTCAGAAAATCTTTAATAACATCTAAAACCTTTCCTTTGACACCAAAGCCTTCCAATTTAGACAGAAGTCTAAAGTGGGGGACTGTGTCGAATGCCTTACTAAAATCAAAGTATAGAAGATCAACCGGGGCACCTTCATCTAAAATGTCAAGAATGTCATCAAATGTCTCTAAAAGATTAGATAAACACGATTTACCCTTAACAAATCCATGCTGATGCTTCAAAATTCGATGTTCTAGAAAATTTAATACATGTGCTCTCACCAACTTTTCATACACTTTGCACAAAATACACGTTAATGAAACTGGTCTATAATTTAAGGGGTCCGATTTAATACCCTTTTTAAACAATGCTACAACAGATGCAGATTTCCACACTGCAGGTAAAGATCCTGTATCTGAACACTTTTGAAATAATTTAGTTAATGCTTCAACAAAATTGTTGTCATAAGCTAGCGATTTCAACAACTTCGGATGAACACCATCCGGACCAGAACTCTTAAAAATGTTAAGCTTTAAAAGTTGCTTTTTTATATCAGAACTGCTGACTTCCATATCATCAATATCATCAATACTCTCATTGTCAGGTCTTAAATTCTCAGTTTTAGGGAGAGGGCCAGGTGGTTCACGCACAAAAACAGAGCTTAAGGCACTTGCGAGTACCTCAGCTGACTCAGTTGAACTATCTGTGCGCGTACCATCTCCTCTATCTAAAGAAACCACACTTGATTTAATTTGACGTTTATTTCGTAAATAAGAGTAAAAAGACTTACAATTCTGCTTTAGATTAGATGTAATTTTCTTTTCATAGTTAACTTTAGCTTTAATTTCTGCTACTTCATAAGTATGTTGTTTGCTACTTGCATAACTAAAATTAACATCAGATGGATTAATATCAAACTCAGCCCATGCTTTATCTTTATTCTTTCTCATTCGTTTAAGTGCAGATGTACTCCATGGCAACTTGACAGGTATGTTGTCGAGATAAACCGAAGCAGTCGGAACAGCTGCAGCAACAGTCTCCAGTTTACCATGTAATTCAGCCCACATATCTTGAACATCATTGGTAGAACTATAGTCCCAGTCGATATTTTTTAAACTAAAATTTAATAACTATCTTAATCTTACCCCATATAGGTTTGATAATCTTCTCTTTTAAACATTTGCTAGTATCCGGGGAAACAACTAGTTTGACAAGTATCCCAACATGATCACTCTTACCAAGCGGAGAAACGATCTTACAACCGTTGACAAGAGCATCATTTGTATACAGGACCTGATCAAGAAGACTCTCCTGGAGAGTATCCTTCACAAGCCGTCTTCTAGTTGTCTCGTTGGTGAAATACCAAGTTAAACCACTGTCATTGAAAACATCCATGAATTTCTGTTGAGTAACTAAAAACTGGTTCTTGCTTGCAATATTACTATTTATGCTACCAGTTTACCATAAAACATTTGGTAAATTAAAATCTCCTAAAAGGAGTGTTTCAAAATCATTCCTTTCACTACAGATTCTCTTGATACAAGATATTAATGCATTATTCTGTTCTAAATTCAATGAAGTGGATCTGTAAATACAACAAATACTAATCAGTCCACCTGATGTGTTGATATTAACAGCTAAAGAATCCGGTGCCTTTAAAAAAGAGTTCACTAGTGAAGCATGACAACAGTTTTTAACATAAATTATAGAGCCTCCTCCACCACTTATACTGCCAGTGGAATTGTCAATTCTAAAATCTCTATCTTTTCTAAACATACTAAATCCTTTAATATAAATTTCGGCATCTAATATATCACTATTAAAATGAGTTTCTGTTACACAGATTACCTCAATAGATTTATACATTGATAAAATACATTTTAGTTCATCAATTTTATTAAATAGGCCGTTAGCATTGGTATAAAAGATATTTAACAGCTGGGCACTGCGGCCTCCGCTTTGTCCTCTGTCTTCTCTGGCTCTCTTTTCTTTGCTTCCTCCTTCGTCTTCTCTGTCTCTCTTTTCTTCGCTTCCTCCTGCCTCTTCTTCCTCTCCTTTCTGGCTAAAAAACGAATATCTCTGTCTGCCTTGCAGAGGTCCAAGTTGATCCAATAAGTTGACTCTTTCCAGCCCTTACCATGGTCAGCGTAGAAATTTACTGACTCTTCATCTCGTGTCTGGATGATGAGCGGGCAACGGTGATCTGGCTTGTCAGCATCAAGCTTGCCAGAGCGATGGCAACTTATCATGTCGTCCTTCTTAGTCTCCCTGCAGAACTTGGAGTTGTCCTCCTGGCGTTGCTTAGAGGTAGTCTTTTTGCTCTCTGGAACCTTGAGCACACACAGATTGAGTTTTCGTTTGTTTCGCTCAAATGTATCAGTGTGCATCTTCATTTGCACTTCCGAAATAACAGTTTCAGAAGCTTGTTCACGACTCATGTCATCGAGAACCTTCTTCTGGGTTTGTGCTGTTACCTCAGAATAGAGACGAACAGCTTTGTCAACTGTTTTCTCTGCGCTTCCTTTAATAGCTTCCTTAATCGAGTTAGTCAGGGCTGGGGTCAAATGTTGGAGTTCCTCTTTAATAATAGCCCTGACAGCCCCGTTTTCCTTAGTGTCAGCTGAGGTATGAGGCGCCACAAAACAGTATGGGCACTTCCAGTTTGTTAGATTCAGTAACATCTCGTTTTTAAGGCCAGATAAACCAACACAACTCAGGTGCCAAAATAATTGGCAAGCTTCACATTCAACTGATAGTTCTTCTGACATGTAAACATCACATTGGCAGTATTTTTCCTCTGGCACTGGGACATTATCAGAAGATGAATCCTTAGGGGGACTCGTCTTGACTCCACGTTTTTTCGTATCGACACCCTCTTGGGTACATTGTTACTTGCCATCCCTGAACTCAAACTATTTGTTATATAGTAGTGTTGAAAGTATTAAAACTCTTAATAGTCCAGTCATTTAAGGACAGCTGCCTGCAAATCTTCAGATACTCACGAAACTTTGCACAGACCTTCCCAAAGGTATGAATAAACAATTTTCGGTTGGAGACATTTTTTTTACCGTGGGCAAAACCCAGGAGGGCCACGCCCATATTGACCCAATAACGTAACTGACCCCTTGCTTCTGAAGGTCGTAGAGACCTTAAAATAAGCTTAAACGAAGCCGCATATGCATATTTATATAAGAGTTATCGATCAACACATGGCCTAAAATCCCTACTTTTCGAGAAATTCGCCAAAAACCATTTTGGGCGTGGCGCTGAGCCCATTTTACTAACTTTTGATAGGATTGTGATAGAGTCTTTGGAGAGAGTGCAAAAGAACCGCAATTGGCATATTTATATATGACTTACGAAGAAACATATGCCTTAAAGTGCTTGCTTTTTCAGTTATTGGCGAAAAACTGATTTTCGGTTCCAGAAATCATGCAAAAATATGGGTATCTGGTATATTGGGCTATGAAGGCCCTAGAGATTTTTGAATAAGTGCAAATTGTGCAGAATGGCCATGTTTATATACAACTTATGAAGCAACATGCACCCTAAAATGCTCACTTTTCGAGTTATTTGGGGAAAAAACAGAGAAAATTTGCACAAAATAGAGCAAACTTGGTTATATCAGCCATTTTTGCCTCCCGTTCTATGTTAATAACTCGAAAAGTAAGCATTTTAGGGTGCATGTTGCTTCATAAGTTGTATATAAACATGGCCATTCTGCACAATTTGCACTTATTCAAAAATCTCTAGGGCCTTCATAGCTCAATATACCACATACCCATAGTTTTGCATGATTTCTGGAACCGAAAATCAGTTTTTCGCCAATAACTGAAAAAGCAAGCACTTTAAGGCATATGTTTCTTCGTAAGTCATATATAAATATGCCAATTGCGGTTCTTTTTCACTCTCTCCAAAGACTCTATCACAATCCTATCAAAAGTTAGTAAAATGGGCTCAGCGCCACGCCCAAAATGGTTTTTGGCGAATTTCTCGAAAAGTAAGGATTTTAGGCCATGTGTTAATCAATAACTCTTATATAAACATGCATATGCGGCTTCGTTTAAGCTTATTTTGAAGTCTCTACGACCTTCAGAAGCAAGGGGTCAGTTACGTTATTGGGTCAATATGGGCGTGGCCCTCCTGGGTTTTGCCCACGGTAAAAAAAAATGTCTCCAACCGAAAATTGTTTATTCATACCTTTGGGAAGGTCTGTGCAAAGTTTCGTGAGTATCTGAAAATTTGCAGGTACAGTGTACACCTCCATAAATGTCCATAAATGACTGGACTATAATATCATAAATGATTGCTATTTTCGGAATGTTTCGAATAAGTTTTAATGAAGAGAGGCATAATGAATATCTTTGGTTTCATCCTTGTTTGGCAAAGAAGCGCTTTATAAATCCTCATTTAATTGAGAAAGAAAAGAAAGATTTGTATGAAGAGAGAGTACTTCAGTCAGAGAAAGGATCCTTTGTCCCTCTAGTCTTCACAACCTCTGGAGGTATGGGACCGCTATGCACTGTATTTGTAGATCGTGTCTCTGAGATGATAGTTGACCATAAAAAAGAAGCCAAGAGCCAAGTCAAAAATCATATCAGAACACGATTAAGATTTGATCTGTTAAGAAGTACACTCATTGCACTAAGAGGAATCAGAGCAGTGAAAGCAGTATTAATGACATTCTCACTTTTCAGAACTAAGTGCCTAATACAATTAAGATATAACATCTAAACAGTTTTATTCCTGTTCCATATGATCGAGGATAGTCAGGGCTACAAAACCTGACCAAGTTTAGCTCAATCCAGTACTGCGCGTTTGAGATATGAGGTTAAATATACCAAAAATAGGGGTTTTCTGGTGTGACATCATTGTAAATTTTTTGGAGTATAACCTCAATATCTCACAAACTATCCATTTGTGGTCTTTCTGAGTTACACTATCTGTTTCCTCTGGCAATTTCGGTTCAGAGTCAATTAAGTTTGAAACAAAATCTCAGTATATGTGGAAGGACTGAGGATATCAAGTTTGTAAACGCGCGCGCGCGCGCGCACACACATATATCTGACCTCATATCTTCCACATTTAATGATTTTTTATAGAAATTCTTTCACCATCCTGTAGCACTCATGTGCTGAGTAGGATAGCATTCAAATCATGTCTTTAAAAGCTTTAGATAGATACTGAGGGAGAAAATTCATGTTTGTAAACGCGCGCGCGCGCGCATGGCCCACTGCCCAGACTATATCAATGGACGGGAGGATTAAAGTACTTTCATACACACCAGCATGCTCATTGATGGCTTAAAATGAAGCTAAGACATACTCCTATCAGATCCACCATAAGTTAGATACCATAATAATCATTAAATGTGTCTAAAATGAGGAAGCTTTGACAAGTGCGAGTGGTTTTGGCAAATTTTGGTATAAAATGGGCCCTGAGATCATATTTTTCTCATTAAAATCACATATATCACGAATATTTATGTGTGTTGGGTGTATCCTCATTGGTATCAACCATTTCAATCATCTAGAGCAGCTTTCCTGATTCTTTATCTCATGAAAATGGGCAAAAAAGCTCATAAATAGTCCAAAATCGGTCATTTTCGCCGCTTTAATAACCTCATTCCTGGCACCCAGAACACTTTGGGTACTCAAAACATGATTTTTCGGATACCTCAGACCCCTAACTAGCAAATGGAGCCAGAAAGAACAGCATGTAGGGACTTCTAAATTTTCATGGTTGAGAACCCAATGTCACACTATTCGTTCATTAATCCTGCTTTCACTGAGAGGAAGATCAACGGCCCAGCATCTTGAACTGCATGACATCTCCTTCAACCTCATCCCCCAGAAGACGAGCTTTGAGGTCTCCTAGATTTGTTTATGTAAATTTTAATATTTTACTGTACTATTTTATGTTGTATATAATTTTACGGACGAAATGATCCCAGGGGGGACTCTCAACCCACCGCTTCGGCGGGTAGTTGACGCACCGTTCACAAGCAAGAGCCACTTTGGTCTACTTGCTGTGAGGTGTCTCAGCTACATGGGTTGGGGGTCCCCCCTTTTCTTTTTAATTGGGAAGTATGGATAGGTTTTATAAATATAATAATGTATTTGATAATATTTAATAAATTGTACTTGACTAATTATAAATGTTGCTTCATGTTTTCATATTATGTGATGCAATACTTTTGTAGGGATGTGTGATGTCATGAATTTTACTTAACTTTGCTTTAACAAACATGAGCAAGAGAATATATTGTGATATAGCCCACTGGATTAACTTACTTCATTGTTTCCACGTACCGTGATGGCATTTTTTATATATACAACTTTCTACTACTTGTTATGAACAAACCTTAACTAATTTTGAGCTCTTTAAACATTCACTATTAAGGTAATCTTCAGGTATCATGGTTGAAGTTACCTCCCAAAATTTTGATGAGAAGCTTATTGAAATTGATCAGGATTTGCAAGAGGCTTCATTCACCTGTCTGGACTTTGAATTTTCTGGATTGCACACAAATAGGTGTCCTGAGATAAGTTTATTTGACACACCTCAAGAGCGTTATTCTACTCTCAAAGAAAGTATCAAAGACTTCACTGTTCTTCAATGTGGATTAAGCATTTTTAGATATGATAAGATCTCTAGAATTTACCATTGCAAGACTTATAACATATGGATATTCCCTCGTGCCAATGATTGGTTGAGTCGGCAGACACAGTTTGAGTCTGCAGCCTGTGAGTTCTTGATGAGGTTTGACTTCGACTTCAACAAATGCTTCTATGGGGGGAGTACCATATTTGAATGAAGAGGAAATTGTTGTCCTACAGGAAAAGTGTGACAGAAAGTCTGAATATGTCGGTGATATTGTATTGAATGATGTCAAGGCGGCCTTTCGGAAAAGAAAACTTGATAAGTTGACTAATTGGGCTTCAGAGTCGAGATATGGTGAGGTGATGGAAATTGATTGTATGAGTGGTGGTATGTGTGCTCTTCTTATATCAGATATACATAAAAGTTTTGATGATCTTATTGCTGAACAACCAAGAGGTGAGTCATCACTAATTGTTGTAAAAAAAGCTACAGCTGAAGAAAAATCGAAACAGCCTCAATTTCTCAAAGAAGCTGTCGAAAGAAAGTTCAATCAAGCTATCGGTTTCACACACATCATAAGGTTAATTAAGAAACACAGAAAGCCTTTAATTGGGCATAATGTTATGATGGACATCTTGTACGTTTACGAGAAATTCCATAGCCCTCTTCCTGAATCCTTTGCACACTTTAAACACACCATGCTCACTGAATTTCCTGTGATTTATGATACTAGACACATTATCAGTAACATGAAGGTTGAATTGAGAAAGGATGGAAAACACAAGGAATTATTTAGGGGAACTTCCTTGCTATCTCTGTATGAAGAATGTAGGCGTGAAAATGTCAAAGGCTTGCTTTATCAACCACAAATATTTGATAACCTGGGAGAGGAATGTGGTATGAGGGAACACGATGCTGGATATGATTCTTGTTTGGTTGGACACGTTTTCTTAAGACTGGCTCATTTTTATACTCTGTGGAAAAATAACTCTCCAAGTATAAAACCATTTCATTTTCAAGATTATGTCAGGGAATTCTCAAAGTTTGAAAATTGTCTGAATTTGATCCGGAGTGCTCTGTCTCACATCTGCATATCAAATGAAGACCCAGAAAACAAAAGACCACAATGGATATTGGTCACAGAGAGAAAGAAGGCACAGATTGATACTCAACATGTTAAGATTGTGTTCAGTGCATTTGGAGATGTCAGTGTCAGGGAAGTCAGTCACTGTTCCTGTCTTGTTGCAATGCCGTCTATTGGCATGGCAGCTGGACTTCTTGTTGCCATGGATACTCATGAGAAGTATAAAGTGGAGAGGTATAATCCTGATGATAGTTGGGTCAACAAAACATTAGGATTAGCTCTGATTGGGTCTTTAGGGGTAGTTGTTGGATGTTTAATCTGGAAGAGTAGTATTTTCAAATAGTTTTAGTCGCTCAAATTTGATTATATAATAGTAGTTAAATTTTAATACCTTATTTAATGTTGTTTTTGAAGGGTTATAATCTTGTTTCATTAAATTGTGAATAACAACAGTGAGATTGTTTTTAATAGTTTTATTTATCTACAAGACATAACTTTTTATCGAAGTTTTAGCGAGTTTGTATTCCAATTGTAGCATTTAATATTGAATCATTTATTTTTATGTTCGGTAAGTTCGTCATTTTCATTCGCTTAAAAAATTATAGCAATTTGACTTTATATTGATTAAGCTTATACGAAATACATAGTTTGTTAGAATTGAAGTATTTAAGTAGAACATATCCTCCAATCTTTGTAGTATTAATTTTTATACATTTCTTCACACGTCATAATTTATGAATTAGCCAATAGCTACTGCATATTATAACACGTCCCCATGTAACGCCAACAGTCAACACGTCTGAATAAAACAACTTCTTATCAAGGAAATATGTCTAGTTCCAGCAATATCCAGACTAAGTTCGAGCCCCATGATCCCCAATCAAATGATGAAAACAGCATTTCACAACAAAACATTTTGGAATCAGCTATGGGCTCAGGTTAGTCTGTGTGAGATAACTTGAACTATTAAACAATTCTCATAAATTTGATTAAACTTAGTTTCAATTAAGCATTAAACCGAGAATTGAGGAATTACAATTATTTCTTACAGGTCTTTTGAGTAGTGCATCAAGTGAAGCTAATGGTATCAGAGACTCAAACAGCTTCATTAACGACTCAGGTTTTTATTTCGATTACTATTTTCAGTCTGATTTGATAATTGATAACTTATATTTTATTATTGTAATTGGCTCGTATGAAGTTTGAGATTTTATCACAAGCCGGTATATTTAATCACGATTGAAGTCCGAAAACATTTGGTCGGGCAGTATGATTGATTAGTATGGGGCCGGGGTCACCAAAATCAGGTCTGATCTATTTGTTAAAAATGATCCGATCTGCTATAAAATGAAGGAGAGCTATTCCAGTCGTGAGATCACCTCAACACCCTAATGTCTCGGTCACGTGATCTCATCGTACCTTGTTACATATCATTACCAAGATGACATTATGCGATGGATCTCATCCCTCAGCACGCAAGGGATCACATCCCTAAACTCAGTATATAAGTCAAACCCAAAACTTCATCTCTCGTTTCCCTTCTCGCATCGCAACAACAGATATGGAAAGACCCTTATTCACCTCACTTCCTGGAGTCTTCACAGGGGTCTCACTGGGCCTACCGGAGCTACAACTAACTTCACCTTCTGTCCCTGCCATCTAGCTGAAAGGGTAACAATACCCTACCTCCAGCCCCCACTTCCTGCTTCTCCTCAAATAAAGGGAACAAAACGACCCAGAACAGCGGCTTTCTCTGAACCTCACCCCCAAACAGCCCAACCTCTGGTCTCCTCACTCCCCTCACCCTCAACCTCTATACCTTCCAGTACCTCTACCTTAACCTCTAACTCAACCTCTACACCTACCACTACCTCTACACCTACCACTACCTCGGCACCTGTTTTACCAACTGTCCCTACATCTCCACCAACCTTGACTCCTGATTAGAGCTTTGAGCTCTACAACAAAGTCAAGACAATGTACTGTGGCTCCAATAAAAACAGCTTCCAGTTGTTCACACGACACATAGCAGAGCTGAAGATTCTGGACAACGAACTCTATATCACGACAAAGCAGAGGATGGATGAAGAAAGTATGGAGAAACATTTGCTAGATAGAAGAAGATTGTGGAAGATTATTGATCTCATTTGTATCTTTAGAGCAGTAAAATGTACGGCATTATTTAAATAACATTATCCCGTAATCATTTTAATATATCGTGTATTTGTTCACCGTTTCTAAAAGCTACCATATATTCCTGGGATCAACTTCTCATTATTCTTGCCATTTTTATCAGAGATATTAGAAGATATAAAAAGGTTCCTAATAAGGGTTACTCTTTACCCTCTATCTCTCAGGCGCACAAGACCAGGAACAAGAGACAGCTGACAAAGTGCACGAGGGAGAAACATATCTGAGAGAACAGGACAGATTCCTGCCAATAGCTAATGTCAGCAGGATTATGAAGAAAGCGGTCCCTCCTATAGGCAAGGTTAGTGGTTAAAATGCGGATATAATGTCATTAATGCTGCATATTATTATTAGATATTTATTGTTATTTAATGTTAGCGGAAGTTGAAGTTATCAAGTAACCAGTAATTAGTTTGCTTCCTTATCTTCTCCTCTGGAATTGGAAACTTTGTTCATAAATATTGTCTAAATACTCGAGCAATTCATTGTGTTGCTTCTACTCACTTTAAATGCAATTTATTTTGTGTAACCTTATGAATTCATTCATGGGGAGGATCGTATTTAAACCTCTAATTTGCATGACCTTCAAGGCTTATTAGGGGTTTTATTTAATTCATTATCAAATTATCCTCATTACTTAAGGTACACTTTCGTCCTCTAACGAGTTTTCCTGGCATGCAATTATGTCCCAACTTCCGTACTGTATATACATTTTGTGTACAATGTAATGTACTAAGCGGGAATTTTACTCTCACATAAATTGTGAAAGGATAATTTATATACCGGTACGCGGAAGTGAATTGAATTAAGAATAGACTTCAAGTCGACAAATCCTTATCACATTAATATGAAATATCATTGTTAATTATCGATTATTATATATTGATATTAAGATTGTAAGATTAGTATGTAAGAGTTACACTGCTTTTTACAGTCTCTCTTTTCAGATAGCAAAAGACGCCAAGGAATGTGTACAGGAATGCGTATCAGAATTTATCAGTTTTATCACAAGTGAAGCTTCAGGTACGTTATTTAGAGATATTTAGGGAAATTAACATTTCAAGGGATATCGATTATCTCTAACACATTTTCTAACCAGTAAGAACCTAGCAAAGTGAGATGTTATTAGAACGTGTCGCGCTACGAGTCACGCGATAATCGCTTCAAATTAGAACTGGCCAATACAGCCTCACTGTGTGCCCAACCCTCAGCACTTCCGAATAAGGTTCCGAACTCAGAAGTCACATTATACCTAGGCGGTATAAAATGTTTTGCATCATATCTATTAATAAATACTCATTGCTCCCAAACTTCGCCCTAAATCTCTTATTGTCTAACACTGATTTCTTCTCTGTTCGCTCATCAGCATCGTTCTATAACTTAATGACTTCTGTCCATACATCTCATTATTTTACCCTGTCAATGTTCGTACCCAATCTGGCCTAATTGCCCATGCCTTTTCCCCTGCTGTATTCTGCACATACTTAATGAATCGTACAGTAAGAGTGTGTCCTTCATAAAAATATACATTTAATATTTAACTGGACTCTAAGTACACATTTTGACAAAATTCCAGCTTGGTATTTATTATTTTCAATTCTTGTAAAGTTGTAAGACGGATAATCGTTTACATTTTTCCACAACACGTACTTCTTCAGACCGGTGTCAGCAAGAGAAGAGGAAAACAATAAACGGAGAAGATATTTTGTTTGCCATGAACGCTTTAGGATTTGACAACTACGTCGAACCTTTGAAAATTTACCTGCAGAAATACAGAGAATGGGTTAAACAGGTTACTTATAATGTGACTTTAATTGGAACCTTGTTGTTATCTTAAAGTTCATATAATTTACGGTATCTTTTAAGATGTATACTTGTTATACCTGATATACTGTATGATAACCTGTTTTTGTAAATGCTCACAGCTGCTCATTAACAGGGAGAGAAGAGTTTGATTCAAGTTAAAGGAGAGATGGCAGATCAAGAAGAACAAAGATCCCGCGCTCTTCATGAGCAAGTTCATTATGTTGGTATGTAGAATCTCTTAAATCACATCACCCAAGTTGATTAAGAAAGTGGGCGCTGACGCTGTTTCAAGAATCGCTTATTGTTGAACTTAATATTAGTATTGATGTCATTATGAACCTGAACCGTCGATATAGGAATAGTTCGCGTCCGCTCACCAAAGTCGCGGCTTTTTGACAGACACACCAACATTTTATAGACACGTCTGCGCTGAACTTTGATTCTTGCGCGCGCCGCGCGCACGTACGTTTTTATTGAGCTATTACTCAAATTTATATCGTGTTCCCACGCCTGGATGTTATGTTCCGGCCAGATCGGAATCTGCCAGCATGTTAGATGCACAAGTGACAAGTTAATTCTTATCTCACATATTTTGGGTATAGACTAAAAGAAAATATGTAAATTAGTGTGTCACTTTAATTCTACGGATTACCATTCATTAGCACAGTTAGGGAATTATGTATTATTGAACCGACCCAGCTCTTTGTTCTCGTAAACAACGAAAATTTGGCGGAAAGTACTTCTCCAGAGTCTAGCGGTGTACACAGGCCTTCGTTACGCCAATAGTACACAGTGGGGTAAGAGTCTGTTCGGTGTGAATGTCTGCAAGGACGTTATATTTTGAGCTCTTCAAACATGCCTATGCAGTTAGACGCTTTAAAAAACCACGGTAACGTATTGTCTCTTGTTAAGACACATTAACAACGTTATCAATAATTTTACCATCTTATCTTCTTTCAGGTTCCCTCCCTCAAAGTATGTTGAGCAGTGTGGGTGATAACTCAACTCACCAACTATACGCCACCCACTTCCAGAGTAACCTCTCCCAGTTCAGTTAGACGACCCAATGTGTTCCATTTACTAGGGATTTAGTTTAGGCATTGACTCTGTCGAGACAAGAGAGCACGTGCTGAATAGATCGGCGGATTTATGTTTTTTGATCGATCGTATGCGGAATATTTTATTTGTAACCAGATCTAGACTCCGGAATACTGGGAGGTGAGCCATGTTAAATTTTACTCATGACAGCAGTCAACTGATTAGTTTCTTGCATTGACCAATCAAATTTCAACATGAAAAACCGAAACAAATACACGCGTATTTCATTTACCCTCCAGTATTCAGATCTATTGACTGAAGCAAAATTCAAATATAGTCCATCTTAAAATGAATTTAAATGGTTGCTCACATACAGTGATGGACCTCATGAGCACTATAAACAGACACTTTCAACTCAATTTGATTTATATGTAGACTTGCTTTGTACAGAGGGATATGAATCACTGAGAACTTTTCTTATGTATGACAATTTCCTGTTAAGATATTTAAATATAAATTTTATGCTGAAGGTTTTTTTCCAGAATGATCTCCAAGGATGGTGCATCAGGCCTCAGCACCAAATTTGAAACTTGTACCTACGATGTACATGTACGATGTATATGATTTATTTGTTGTTTAAAATTACTCGTTTTCGTTGTAAAAAGTTAAAATCATCCCAAAATGAGACACAGAACCAGCTTCTTCAATGTCATTCAGGATAGTTACATTTCTTTGATTAAAAAAACAAAGCGGTTCCAACAAGGGACATTCACATCGATTTCCAAAAAGCATCCCAAATTTGTCCAAACTACACAATTAAATACACATCTTTGCCCAAAAAGTCACGATAGCGACTTTTTAAAACCACAATCTTATTTACAGTAAATCCCGGCTTAACATGAACATCGTTAGTATGTCATGGTAGGTTTTAACGAAGTGGTAGTTGTAGAATGTAGGTTCATAACGAAGAACTGGCAATCGGTCACTACATACTCTAGTATTTGTGAAACTAGACGTACGTGCGCGTCAAACAAATATATTATAATATACTTTACTGGACACTTTTAGTAGCTTGCTACCAACATAAATTATTATTGCGCGTTACACAAAAGTCGTAATTTTTGTGCGCATATTAAAAGACTTAAATAGATCTTTTTTATTAAAATATTAAACTATTTTTCAAGAAGTGAAAATGGATACTTTGACCGTCTCAAAAATTCTGAGTCATTTTTTTATTTTAGCGACCCATAAACATTAAATAATCAAATGAACAACACAAATTCAGGCTCGAATAAAAATTAATACGTAGTATGTAATAACCATGCATTGCCTGACTTTTATTTAAGTCAGACGTGAATTCCATAATAATTCAACACTTAAATAACTTTTGATTCTTAACAAATAGCAAAGTTCGCACCATTTCATGGTTCAAAATACATACGTACCAGGCAGCAGGCTGCAGATCAAAACAGTACATTTCAAGAAATCGCGCCATATAAACATTTTTCCAGATAACTGCAGTGAACTTCGGATCACTCAGACAAGGAGCTGACACATAAATAACAAGCTGATTACCTTGCATTCCATACATTCCATAACCTCTTTCACCCTTAAATATCTACCTTAATTCCCAAAAATTTGGGCGACAAAAAATTTGAGCGGGCCTCTCGCCCAAATTTTTTGCAGACCAAATTAATTGCATAAATCTTTTCCGTCTGCTAAATTTGTTGCTAACCAAACTTTTGGCATTTGGCCTGTGGCCCTGAAATCTATAGAAAGATGACTTTTTCTTCATATCCAAGTGAAATAATATTTGAAATTTTAGTTTTCTAATCTGTCATTCATGGCTTGACCAAGTAAAAAGGCTTATATTTTAAATGAATAGAAATAACAGGAATAGCTAACAGCTACTAATAAAACAAATGGCTAGAGGTACGGATAGCTAGAGATTTAAACAAGATCTGCAAATGAATTATCATCAACCGTAAAGTCTGATCTACAAGCATCAGTTATACCCGACTTCTCAAAGCCTTTCCTTATCTGGTGAGGCGTCATAATGATCATTGTATGTGAAAGGGGTATGATAAGATATGCTAAGTGTAAGTAGACTAAACTATCTGATTGAGAGACTAAATATCACTATTGTATATCTATCATTTTGTACTGTGCCATCATCACTGTATTTTTTAGTAGTTACTGGGCAGATCGTAAATTTCATAATGTGAAACAACTCAGACTACCACCTTCATGCTTAAAATTGAAAGCAAAATGACTGGAATAATAAGGAATAATAATGAACTAAGGCAAATATTTAACTGAAATTTTAGTGGAAAACCGTTCATTTTTCGAAGAATTTGTGCCCAAATTTTCGGTCGCCCAAATGAGTTCAAATTTTCTGCCCAAATTTTTCGGGCTCAAATAAATTGTGCTCAATATAATGGCACACAAATTTTTGGGAACTAATGTATCCCAAGCAAGTATCTAAAATTCTATGTTTATCTGACACATTTTCACGAGGCTCAAATACAGAGAGTTGGCTCTCAGTCTCGTCTCTCTTTACGACTTAGAGTTTCAATTATTAGACACAAAGATCTGATAAATGCTATTGAGCTCTTAATCTTTACTGCAGCGCTTTTTCTTCTTTTCATTTTTATTTTCAGGCACATAGTCCGTCCCAGCTATCATCTGAAAGAGTTGAAATTGAAAGTTTTCGATAATATATCCTCTAAGTGCTTGCAAACAGGCTAAATATAGCACAGGTGTGACGTTGATCATTTAGCTTGCAGTGAGACATCCATTAGAATACAATATTGGAGTATATCATATTATAGTGTTTTGTTAACATACTGTTTTAAAACTTTAAAACAATTCATTTACCGGCCGGCGGCCAAGCTTCGTTGGTAAATATTAGTTTTCACTTGACTGGAGGGACAGAAAATGTAACATCGTACAGAATCACTGGAATCTAGTTGCATTTGCACAAGTTGTCAAGCATTCTATACTACAGCACGATTTGTTACACGTTAAATTGTGATATACTGTAGAAAGGTTTTAAAAGACAGTATCAATGGTGAGCTGTACTTTATAAGATATCTTTTGTGCAAAACGTTCGGAATTACACCTTACACATTGTATAGATCACCAGGGAAATTGTAATCCGCGTTATCAACAGCTGTACAATTTGTAGAGCCAGCTCAAGTAAAGAGGGGCCTAATGTATTACATAGCCCGTATAAGGAGCAACTTACATTGTATGATTGTAGTATACTCCATATTATATGTATAATAATATAAACTATATATTACTTAACCATATATATTACTTAACCTTACATATCACTTTTAACCTTATATATTACTTAACCTTACATATTAGTTAACCCCACTAATTAACGTACCTGTGGCACTCCAGCGAACACGAGTTGTTCGTTAACAACATTAGTCCAGCGTTTTAGGGAGATGGGGTTAGTTGGAGCGGGATGGAGAAGAGGGAACACTACTGGTCCTACTTCTCTACTGCAGAACAACTTTCCCACCTGTAATTAGGTAATTAGTTAATTGATCGGTGGGAGGCTAGATATTTATATTGGCTAATTATTGTTACATCGCTACCTCAAAATTATTTGTTATATAGTAGTGTTGAAAGTATTAAAATTCTATTTATCACTTCCCAATAACATGTTCATAAAAACTAGACGTAAGACTACAAGCCACTTGAAAGCAATTTTTAAAGTTGCAAGGAAAATGCAATTACAAAACAGTAGTAATTGACAAGTACATATTTTCATGCACCTTTGGTCGTGAATGACAATTTCACAAGCTATATTTATGAAAGTTCAGTCCTTAGTCTTTACTGAGTTTAACTAAAATCAATCAGAATACAATATTATACTTAGTAAAAAGGTAATAGGAATTGTATAATAAGTTAACAAATCACCTGTTGGTGTGTAAATCCCCCAACAGTAACTATAATAGAGGGCCTGACAATATCCACTATATCAATGATGTGCATATCACAAACACTAATAATCTTGTTTCTCAAACCATGTGGTAGGCAGGGAGGTGGTACCTGGGAATAATATTTTTACAATAACTCATTTATATTTTAAGTCAATTCTTCTTTCTTGAGCAGGTAGCTCTGTAGGGTAAAAATTACCCAATATTACTTATCTTTTGACTTTTAACATCTAACGTTTTCATAGATTTGATGCAAGACCTGTAACAAGGCCTGAAACAAGGCCTCTAAACAAACCTCTTTCCCATTCTTATCAACATAGAGCATAGGACAATATGTAGTTACATAACACTTTCTGGTGAACTCTTTCACACTATAACGAGACTCAAAGAACCTCCAGAATTTGCTTCCTTCTGGATCAGGTCGGAGAGTTTCCCATCCAGTTACTGGTAGTTTGGGGTGCGAATCTTTTGGTTCCCTGGAGTTAATTTTGGTGCTTAAGTCCATTGATATTTGGCAATTTGACTAATGATGTAATTATGCATGTCAAAAATTAAAAGACGCGTCATTTAAGTGTGCTTAGTAATATCGGCTGGAAAGTATTCCCAGTTTATTGACACAAACAAGAGAAATTCATATATTTCATTATAAAACATATCAACTAACTGGACGTCAAAGTGTGACAAGTTCAGATAGTCCCTGACGTGTTTAAGATTACCAAAAGGAACCCCTGTCTGAGCCATACCAAACGGAGTTGCACTCATTCCAACAAACAGTATGGGCTTCTCCGCGTTTCCATATTTGCAGACGTAGGAGCAGTGGGAGTCAACTGCGTAAATCAGCGGGTTATACATCCTGAAATTAACATATTGGTTACTTCGTTTTGTTGAATCGTTTTCCCGATCAATATTATTTGTTAGATTTGATATCACGATCATACTTATGCGTTATGGTCGCGCTACTTGGCAAAGTAACCGACTGCTATCACGCTGTATGAGATTGGTTTTTAACTGATCACAAAAATTCTCTCTGATGTACCACAATCTGCATCATCCACCATCACGTTAGACTATCGAAAAAAGTATGATAGCCGTATTTTGAAAAATAACCGATCACTATAATAAGCTTTCTCTGAGATTGGTTTTTAACCGACCACAGAGATGCCCTCTGATGTACCACATGAACCACCGTCAAGTTAGACTATTGATAAAAATGATCGCTGATAATAATAAACAAAACTTACGTGAGATCACCCTTGTCGGGACGTTCTAGCGCCGCGCATAACTGCGCCTCTGAGGCTAGTATCTGATGTGCCACTGACGAGTCTTCCAATCCTATCATTTTATCTGGCATTCGCTAGAACAGTTCTATTATTACGAGTTAGGAAGATCATACAATTTGACAGAACCTCAGTATAATCATATATACAAACATTCTCTTGATCACTAATATATATTATTGAGTAATCAATTGAGAATTCGAAGCACACTGTAAACAGATAGACATAAATGAGTAAAAAACATGATTCATGATACTATAACACATTATATTATGGCATGCAATAATTTTTATCCATGACTTCAAAAGAAGTGAATCATTGATAGTTTCCGTTACATTGTATATCATTAGTTTAAATTCCCAAATAATCAGACTGAGCAGGTTGAGCTGTAGTAAAACACAGTACTGAGGTGTTAAAACATTTTCATTACTATCTTCAGTAACATCCTGAATCAGAAACTCGGTTAATATCAGTTCCTACAAAGTGTAACATTGGAAATGAAATGACACAACTAAAAACGATACCTATGAATATTTTTAAAAACATAACTTTTGTGCCCCAATGCAATGGAAAACCTTTAAGATAAATCCAATAATGGAATCCCAAACGGGTCCACGGCATTGAGCCCCAATGGACGTATAGTTCTTAGTTTCTGAATATAACGGTGTTCATCTACTTCTAGAGTTCTTGGACTACTATTACTGAGAATTGACACTTTATAAGCCTGGTTGAAATTGTCACGTTGTTTCATGTTATGAACTTCTACAAGGTGTTTACCCAAGCTGAATCCGTCGTCGTTTTCTTCAGGGACAAACGTATTGTCCGAAATGAGTTTGTAGTAATGGGCGCGATGTTCGTTTACTCGTGCCCTTAGGGGCTGCACCGTTCTTCCTACATAACACATATTACAAAGTTGGCAACTGAAGATGTATACAACATTGTAGCTGACACATGTACCAGACACTGCTTTGGCTCGCTGTCCATTGACTGTTATTGATGGATGTGGAGATATGATGTTACAGGTACCGCAGTGTCTGCCCCCACATGGTCTTGTGTGAGGTTGGGTTAAGTCATCCGCAAACTGTTTTGCTTTAACTAACTTCCTTCTAAATGATGTTCCAGTACGTCTGACGAATTTGAAGATAGGGCGTGATGTACCGGCTCTAGATGATATTGGGGAGCCTGGGGTGTTTCCACTTGTATGGGAACCAGATAATCCTGAGAAGCTCCTGGTTCTACTGAGTTCTGGTTCCAATCTTTTTACCGATTCTACTAACTCTTGATCGCTGCCAAATGTTGAAATAACGCGGACTGCTGGTTCTGGAGACTTTGGGACCAGGACACTGCTGTTTGAGTTGTCCAGTGGTTTGAGGCATCTTTCAAAGCCTTTGACTTTTTCACTGATGTTATCTACCATAGTTTTAGGGTAGTTGGATTGGAAGAAAAAGGTTTTTAATTCATCAATTTGTTTTCGGAGTCTGTCGTTATCATTGATGATTCGCCGGAGTCTCAGGCATGCACTATAGACTATGCTGCTGAATGTATGGTTCGGGTGGTGGGAACCGAAGTACAGGTAAGAGCGAGCATCAGTCTCTTTAACATGGAGGTCTGTCTGAAGGTCACCTGCGGTGTCGAAACAAAATTTTATGTCTAAGAACGCCACATAAACATTGTTATCTTCTATGATGTTCTCATCAATGTGGAGGCCAAGTTCTGCTAGCCTTGTATTGACAGTCGCGATGAATTTTGAAAACTGTCTTTTCGTACCATGGAATACTCCACAGCCGTCGTCTATGTATCTTTTGACCGATTTTACAGGTTCCATTAGTTCCGTGTCTGAATAGACTTGCTCACGCATGACATGGTATACTGCTATGTTTGCAAGTTGTACACAGATACTGCCTCCTGTCGGTACTCCTCGTTTTTGTCTGTACCACTCTCCGTTGAATTTGCCTATAGACGACTCATAGCTGAGTTCAACACTTCTTATCAACCACTCCTTAAATTTGGCGGACCATTCTGGTCTCTTTTCTTCCATGGCCACCTTCAAAGCTTGGAGTGTGAGGTGGGGACTCAATGAATCATATAAAGCTTTGTAATCAAATGTGAATGCTTTAATGTTGCTTTTGAGTTCTGTGTCCAGGGTATTGTTGATGTTGTCGAGCCAGACTAAGGCGTCTCTATTATCAATAAGAAGGTCTTCGCAAAAATCCCTTTCTAGTTGACGTAGTATATCATTAACACAAGCTGTGTTTTCCCGCAATGGTTCCTTAACGTTACTATGCCATATTGTGGCCACACACGAAAAGTAATTTTAGAGATGGCTATATTTTGTCGATCGAATACTGGTCGATCGGAATTAACACTTTCTCGAGAAATAAATTTGATCACGAAAAGGTGGTTGTGGGGTTTTATTGATTGTTCGTTTTTTGATCTCGTAACGGAAAACGATCCAACTCAGTACTGAGTGTAAATACGGGTGGTACCGAGTACCTACAAGGGTATTTATTAATTAATATTTATATTATCAGTTCTGTAAAACTGCAATTACAATTGAGAGACAATATTTAGAAATAATTTAGGTCGACATCAAAATAGTGGTATAATTGCACTCAAATTTAACGGACACACACTGGCCAGGACAGCCCTTGATTCAATTTCACGAATACTGCGGTTTGAGAGATTCGTGTGACAAACGTCTGCCCTAAAGTTGTATAGTGTAGTTTTCACTCCTCTAATATCGACCCCTGCGTGTCCTACATACTTCCAAAATTTAGATTTATCCCAAAATTTTGCAGAATGTACTGGAACGTTGCAAACAGAGTGATATATCCATAATATCCTAGATAACATTTATTGATATATTTTTCAGATGTAATCTTGCGAAATTTCAATTTAATGGTTGCTTTAACCAGCTTTAAGGTCGGAAATGAAAAATATGTAACGTCAATACCAAACCAATTATTGAGCGATAGTAACAAAATTATTTGTTCTTCTTATAGTATTCTCTAGCAAATCTTCCCGTTCAATTCACTTTGTAATTTCAAGAACCCATGCCAGGTTTCTGGGCTAATGTTCTTAGTGCCAGTGGTGATCCTTAATTTGCAAATCCTTTGTGCAGATATCGATTAAGCGATCCAACTCAAGTATCAGTAGCACAATGGCTAAGGAGGTGTTTGCGCTGGGGGAGGACCCACAGTCTCTTCTAAACTGTGCAACATAAGTTTAGGAATCACCTAGTGCTACAATTGCACTACTGTAGCTTATTACATTATATTTTATTTTTACCCTTTTTGCAAGCAATTACCGTGGTGTCTGCAGTTGCTGCTCCTGCTTAAAGTGGCTGTTAACGATTTTATGATATGATATGAATGCCCGAAGAGTCCGGCTATATTTAGAGTTGAAATTGTTTTCCATTATAATTTGTATCATTATCTATAGTAAGAAAACAAAATGTAAACCATACTGGAACCGTCAAATCAATGAAGATACTTCTTACCAGCTTATTCCTGCTTAAAGGATACCGTGGTGCCCTCCCTGCACTAGACGTAAAGCGAGGTAAGCAGATCTCCAATATCCATCAAAACCCCAAACTACCCCTCCATAGATATTATATTATTATTAGTCCTTTCCCAAATCTTTCCATAAAGTGTCGGGTATAAATTTCTCATGCGCACAACTACTGCTATACCTGAACAAGTAAATAGGTTCCTATATACTGGATTTATTTCAGGGTGGATCAATGTCCCAGAGGAGGACTTCACGAAGTACCAGATGTATCTCAACCAAACCCTTGAATTCAAAACTGTCGGTCAGAGTAATTACGGAAAAATCGTATCCATCTTCAGATTCACTGGACCAAGCCATTACACAAGACTTGGAATACAGCTCTCGGACCCAAACACAAGCCAGTGGAGCTACATCATAACTGAATGTATGACTAATCACTTTTATACTCGATTCCTGAGCAGTGTTCCAGATAAGAAGAAAAAGGTGCAGAAAGTCAAGCTCTCCTACACCAATCTGAGGATACTTTGCAACGGAGTGGAGGTCCTGGATTTTAACTTTGCCAGTGACAGACAGCCTAATTATCCAGGATGTAACGAGAAATGGTCGAAGGAATTGGAATATGTTACCCTTTTTATCAGTATGGGAGTTCACTCCACATGAAATATCTCATCAGTATTACCAGTAAGTACACTTAAAAAAGGTATTGAATAAATTATGTTGCTTTTATGATTCTGAAAAAAGCAGTACTTCTATTGCAATGCGTGTGGAGCAGGTTGTAAAAGAAGTACTTCGTGGGCGTGTTCCAGTTGTGATAACAGACTGGGTCTCATTTGAACATGCTGTTCCTAATGCGCAATTACTGCCAATCCCACGAAAATAACCATGTGAAATGGCCCTCTTAACCCAGATATCGTGTACTACCTTGGAGGACATCGCAGCTTCGAGGTTCCACATGAACTTTCATTCTTGCTTCACATCGAAGGGTTGACATCATCAATCAACCTCCAAAACTTGGGACCAGACACAATAGTTATATCTTATCTCATAACAATGCCAAATTAGTATAATTCCTTCGACCATTCAACAACAATGAACACGATCAAAAATATTTTTACTAGTTAATAGACTTTGAGGATAAAACCAGGATATCGCTCAGTGAAACTCCCTAATATCGTCAGTGATTAATTTTTGGTGACGTATTAAAATACGTCACGGATATTTTATTATCACATCTAGAGTTTATTACATCATACATACTACAAAAGTTCACAGCTAGGTTCAAAGTATGTCATGGTAGTGATAAATCCGATATAGCTATAGTACAGTGTATAGAACAGTAATAGTGTTAAGATCACTTTTTCTAGCTTTGCTCTGTGAGTTCACATATAGCCATGTGTATACGCGCTACTACAAGCGAGAGGGCTTTGGTTAGAGCAACTCTGTGAGTATGATTTTTTTCACCTGCTTTAACACTTAGACAGTAAAAACCAAATTTTCCGATTCCATAGTCTGTAGTCAACGAGTCCAACTCATTGCATATTTTGGATTTTTAGAAGGTTATTA